ATTTTAGGGTAGACCGTACCCCTCACTAATCCATACATTTTTTTCAGCCTAATAAAATGTTTAAAATAGAAGTGAGTGTAGTAGATAATAAAATTCGCGTAAATTAATTAATTATTAAAGCAAGAGTGCTAATTAAATAAATTTTGCATAATTTCGCGTAAAATAAAGTGTGTGTGAGTGAACTATTTGAACAATTTGACTCTGTGCAATTTTGCGAAGAAATGCTGACATCCATGATGGCTGAGGTAAGATCAAGTATAAGATTTGTTTAAATAAGTGATAGTATAATTATATGGTACAGAGTTTTAAATAAGTTATTTTTTGCCACTGATAGAATTGTACGCATAACATTATTCGGCAGAAACATATACAATTATACATCGTAAGGATTTAAACCAAAACGCATTTTATTAGTTTTGATGAGGAGACGTGATGATTAGTTTTTGGCACAGGCAGGTCCAGTGATTGCAAAGACACGGGGTAAAAAGTAACATAAATAGTAATTTTGAGAAAAAGAAGCGTGCTATTTGAATGATTCAAACAACATTTTTATTATGTTCACGAAATCAAGAGCAGACTAAATTTTTGGGATAGAAGGTCTAGCTCTGTAAAAAAGATGCAATTTGGAAGTCCAAAATACATATTAGACAAATGCACTTTAAATTGACTTTTTTTTAATAGATTTTGAAAATAAGTACAAATTTTGTTGATTTATATATGGGTTCCGTACTAATGTACGGATAACAGATCGATGCTGCCATTTTAGTTTAGTATAGAATACTTGCAAATAATAATAATGAAACATCGTTAGAATGAAAAATAGTAGAGTAATTTATGCAATTCATTTACCATTAGCTCTATTTAATTAATGTATAAATAAAACCTTCTAAATCCTCATGAAATAGCAAACGTACATTTTGTATCCTACAAAACTAATGTCTGAAAGTTAAATTGGTCACTATATTAACTGTAATCAAATTAAAAACCCGATCGTCCGTAGCGAAATATATTATGCAGCTGCTGCAATGCATCTACATATTCATCGAAACTCGGTTATCCTTGGAATAAAAAAGGCAAATAAAATAAACTATTTTATATAAAAGTCGTACACTTTGCTTTATAATCTGGTAATGACTACTTTTATGCGTGCTTTCATAGCACATAGAGCTTTATAAATAAAATTGTGACTGTTATCGTTTTGAGTAAAATCTTTTGACGAATAGTAAAAGAGATTTCTGCGGTATTTCGACTGATAAAATTTAGATTCAAGATTATTAAATTGAGATTTTTTTATATTTTATTTTTTAACATTTTAATTTTAATCTGTAAATTATTTCATAAAAATATAATTTATAAAAAAATAATGAAATAACAAATATTTTTATTTGTCAACATTTTTTTTATTACAAAATAAAATCAATTTATATTACTACATATGAAAATAAATGATCTGCAAATAATTACTTATTTTTTTAGCTTTAGATTTTTGAAAATGAGCTTTTAGAAAATACTCCAAGTTAACGTGTTCGTTCGTTTTCAAATCCATAAATGCACTCGGAATACCTTTAATCACTCATAAATTAATTAATTTTTTATTGATCAAGTCGATTATTTACACATATCGTCGGGAAGTTCATGTAACTTACCTCAAAGCAAAATACCAATACCAACTAGTTACAGTTTTAGATTATTATCGAAAATTTATTTTTAATTGGTTATTTTTAGTTTATAATGTTATTTGTACACATTTTTTTACCTTAGCTCCGTTTTAAAAATGGAATCGAGAATATTTATATTACTTATTTTCGGGAAGCCTTTTGAACATATAAATTATGATCATAAAAATTCCTTTTGTCTAATATTATT